TGGCAAAGAAGACGGCAAGCAGCCCAAGGAAACATACACAAACGAATCCTACATCAACTTTGGAGCAAGGTGTTAGCACAGCACTCCTCGCGGGGCTCCGGCGGAAAACGATCTCTCCATCTCGGTGCCTCGAAAACTGGATTTCACATAAGCAAGACCGGAGTCGGTTGGTTGGTTTGGAGGGGAAAGCTTGCTTTGAAGCAGGAGAGTCACCACCTCAACTTAAGAGAGAGAAACAAAACCGTACTTAAGCTGTGCCTCCAATGATATGTCTAGATTCTTAAACATAAAGGAACATCAAACACATCCTGCTGTTAGAAGGAGACAAAAATAAACGCAGCCGACTGAGTTCCTGTTGGGAGGAAGGAAAAACACTGTTGAAGACACACTGCCCTCCCTCCAATTGTACGGCTACGTTCCTGTTGGGTAAGCCCTTTGTCCACTTCCACGGTGGGAATGGTTCGAAAGAGAGAACCAAATGAGGGTTAGGGTGTTTCTCAAACGAAGTGGCTCTTCGGCTTCCCTTTTGGCTTCTCTTTTTTAAACGTCCTAAATGGGGTTCCCTATTTTCGAACGGACCCACTTAGCAAACCAACCAAAAACAGAAAACGAAGACCCCTTCGGCTTCGAACACCGAAGGCCGACATCGGTGTCCGGATGGCGAAATCCACGAAGTAGCCCCCGAAGAGCTCCAGGGCCGCGTCCAGCGGAGCGCCTGAGAGATGGCTATGTGACTCAAGCGGGAAGGAAATATGGTGGGGTCAAAATTACACCACCACAAAACCACAGGCTTTATCCACGTGTCCATTTACAAGGGATCCATTTTGGGTATCTATTTTTGACCCACAGCCATATGGACATGGGTCAGAAATGGGGTAACCCAAAAATGGGTTGCCCTGGTAAATAAAGCCAAAGACTAAATCCTGCGGTGGTGCTTAATTTTTGACCCATACCCAAAAAACACAGAAGCCCAGAATGTGAGGGTTTGTGACAGACGAAGAAGCCAAGAAACGCACCTGCCCAAGGGACCTGGAAATGAAAGGCGTCAAACCAACTAACAACTCAACACAACATCCAGATTCATAACAAAAACTTAATGAATCGAGCGAAAAATTTAACACCTCCAATTCTGAAGTCAGGCAAAGAAATTTGCAAAACCTTGCTCCATTCAAGCTCGCCCGGGCACAGGAAGGCCCAGTCTGACCATGAGGTGTGGAAGAGTTCAGCAATTCGATTTTGCAGCAAGACGCGCTGGCAATGACAGACAAAGACTGGTCGCATGGTTTTATCAGCATCAATTGACTTGGAAAATCCAAGGACTATCAAAATAATGATCCAGCAAGACCTGCCGCCCTTCCGTGCCCCCACTCTCAAAGGATCGAGAGTAAACACCAACAGAACGAGCGAAAGCGATCCCAAACCAGGGTCCACCCGCGCCTGCGACCTCCGCACCGATCTTCACAGCGGTAAAGGTGAGGTTGTCATCGTAATGCTTCATCTCCAGGATAGTGGCAGCATTTTCGATGCCTCCCGGACCCTAAAACGAGCTCCAGGGTTTCCTGGACCCTACACGAGCCTGGGATCTATGTTCTCGGAGGCGCGTTCCAGTCTAAATGGGGATGGCACAACAGCACAAGACGGCAAACAAAAAATGAGGCCGAAAACGCAACCAAAAATACCGCTCCTTTCTGCCACCGGGCACAAAGCCCTTTCAAAGTCCCGCGCTGCATAAGGTATGTGGCAACTTTCAGCCCTGCATGGTGTATCCCATGTGTACCCCAGGTGTATCGAACCCCATCATGGTGTGGGTTGTCTATCCAACTTAGGGGTACGAGCAACACGCATGAAGGATGTCAATGAAGATCCAGGTCTACTGCGAAAGGACAAAAAGTTCTGCACCAGTCCGGAGGTGGTTCATATAGTAATTCACTGGGATGCATCCATCACGACCGGTGCAGGATTTTGTCCATCCACTGTCTGTCCACGCTCAGTGCTGGGCGTTATGGGTCTTTATGGTTGTCACTGGCTGCTGACTGACTCGATCTTGTAGTCAGAAGGGCAATGGGATGGTCTAATTTGAAGGGTTAAAGCCCTCCACGCAAGGTACCCAGGCATCTCAACCTTTCGGTTTAAGATAGTTTGGACCAACATTGGGTCTGGAGGGCAACCTGCATTCATCAACCCAGAGAGCTCCTTGGTCCGGCGTGCGGATTGCAAACCCATGCGGCGATGCCATGTCCGCGCCCTCTCGTATGCGCGCGCCGCGCACGCGCGCGCGCGAGGAGTGAGTGAGCGCCTGCCCTCGCCAGGATCTTCTTCCAGGCTGCGTCCCCGAAGTTGTCAAGGACAAAGTCCCGGAAAACCACGTGGATCAGCCCGTGCCTGAGTCGAGTGAAGTGACACAGCATCAGAGGTTTCATGCAGCCCCGAGGGTCCCCGTGAATGAAGCTATCCCTCCATCGTTCAAACTTCCACCTCTGTTCTTGGAGGAGAATGCAGATACCAAAGAGCACTGTTGGGTAGATTGCCTCGAACATGGGCATAGACTCTTTTCGCAGAGCGTCAAGAACCGAAAAGCACTTCGGGGGCCCCGTGGGGGACATTGTTGGACCAACAAATCCGGGACAAGCGCTATAAACGCATAGTGTCTTGTGGTTGCAGATGACAACAGCAGGCGCTTTGCTTAGTTTCTATATACAGCCAGCCATTATCGCCTTCATCGCAGTTCATGAAGGGATTGGCACAGTCCACTGCCTATCATGTCTCACGTAATTGAAACTGTGTTTGGCTTGTGGTTCTGACTGTTTGCTGCTCGGGCCTGAACACCTGCGAAAAGATGGTCTTCTCAGCCTAATCCGAATTCAACCGAGTTTTCTCGTGCAGCAGCCCACTGGCACGCACGAATGGCATCCATTCTGCTCCAATTTTCGGACTTGGGCTCGTTGTTCGGACCCCCCTGCATCAGCCTCGTTTCCAAAACCAGTTGGACCCCTGAAAATGGTGGGATTTCCACAATGGCCGCCTGTGACAGCCAAAAAGGCGCTGCTGTTTCAAGCAAGGGGTCAACGGCCAATGCTCTCGTCTACCAAGGTGCCATTGAGCCCTCACTTGGTCAGTCAAGGGCAGCGGAATGTGACCGACCCCGTGCAAGTCAAACCATGCAAGTCAATCAAACCTTCGGTCTGAACTCTGCTTGTGCGACCGCGCTGCATCCCAGCGGGCAGCCGGAGCTCAGCCCTTCGTAGAAAAAAAGGAAAACCGCAAGCTGGGGCAGAAACGAGTCCCGGCGCTAGAGCCCAAAGAGCAGCGGAATCCCAGGGAAATCGCATGACCTCTGTGCACCTCAAGCCTGTTAGAAGGGTTGCAGCCAAGCTAGACAGTGAGAACAGACTTAGTTCGATTTCAACTGTTGCCGCAGCGTGGCAGCCTGATAAGATCTCCCCGGACTCCACTTGGTTGGTCTCGGGATGGTTTCCCATGTACCACATCCCCAAAGCACCAATGCAAAATGAAGAACGAGAACGTCAAGGAACCCCGACACGTCCAACTACAAGAACAACTAACAGCTTGTCATGCCAAATACATGCTATGATATGACAAATCGTGTTCGGCTCTTATCCAACTTCACTGGGTTGACCAGGAAGCGTTGCCACGTGGCTAAATGAGTTGGGCACTCACCGATGGCACCAGGAACTGCCCACAAAACCAGGTCGCTTGACATGAAGGGATGCGTCATTTGGGGCTTTGGTCCAAGTTCTAGTTGAAATCCCCCACCTGCGTGCGCTCATTTGGCGCTGCCAACACCCCGGGGGTCGGGCCAACCCCTTCAAACATGTTCAAACGACTATTCACTGCCGCAAAACAGGCTCCCTTAAGGGGATCGAAACAGATCGGCTTTAAACCAACCCATAAAAACCACGAAACCCACCAACCAACCAACCAACCAACCAAACAAACAACCAGCCAGCCAGCCAGCCAGCCAGCCAGCCAGCCAGCCGGAGCCAGCCGACCACCAACCAACCCATAACACCCACGAATGTGCCAATCAACCCCTCCTCAAAGTCCACGCAGTTGATCTTCAGCGCCCGCACGTTGGCCTTGACGCCGTCGGCATCCACCACGGGGTCCTGAAATTTTCCCGAGCCGCTTAGGGTCCCCACCCCGGGCTTGACACGGCCGTCTTTTTTGTGAGCAAAAAGGGCTCCTGTTCAAGGGAAACGAGGGGAAGGCCATGTTGAGGGTCTTTTTTTGTTGACGCACCTTGGCTGTGGCTCAAAAATAAATAATCCAAACTCCGGTTTGAGAAGGGAAGCGTGGACTCAATCCTGCGGATTGGGGCCCCTCTCCCTCTGCTAGCTTCCTGCTTCAGCAGGAAGAGGAATTGGGGGGGTCGTTCCAACATGCGAACCGCCTCACCCGAAAGCGCCAAAGGAAGCGAACTGCCAACCAGGACCCTCACAATCCTGCGACGCAAATGGGTTCATTCGGAACCTACTTGTCTTATTGCCCTCTTTGCATTCTGTTGAACTGTTTGTTGGAGTGTGGGAAAACACCCAGTGACGTGTTCCCAAGACTTGGAGCTTAAAGATCCAAGCAAATGGCAGCCAAGTCTTCGTGCGATTTGGGTCGAGAACAGATTCTACACGGAGATCCCCGCGCCTTGTCCGAGTTCAGATCCTGCTCGAACCTGGGGCTACATTCGTAGCGGCCACAACTTCCCAGCCATAAGATGGGCAATACAGGAACTGGCTCGATGGCCATACACGCAAGAGCCGATACACCATCCAGCCTATTGACAACCTTCGGCCCCTTTGGCGTCTATGGCTCTAAGGCCATCAATATGCCTCAGCAGACAATGTAGGAGCCTCGCTCTCCATTTCGATGTTTTCATGAAGCATGCCACAACTTACAGAAATCACAGCGGAAAGAGCAGAAGAAAAGCCCTGTCCGGGTGCTGATCAAATGCTTGACCCTGCTTCCAAATATATATATATATATATATATATATAAACAAAAAAAACAAAACAAAAAAACGGTGCACCAGACCGGGGAGGAAACATGCAGAAGCTCCAGTGTTTTGGACAGGCCATCCACAAAGGCCGTTCTAGTTGTCCACGTCAGGCCAATGGCATCTGAAAGACTGAGAATGAGGTAGGTGAATACGTGCCGTGATGTGGAACAAGAAACGGCAAAGAGACAACACGAGCGTGCACACACTCATCCATTGTCCAAGCAAACATCCAAAGGAGCACTTCAATCTGGGCGGATGACTGTTCACCTTGGGTTTCGAGCAGTTGCCAGCTTGCGATATGAGCTGAGTGCAGCTCAGCTTAAGGCTATCGGCTAGCGCCTTTCAACCCCCTCTCTCCGCTCTGGACAAAGGAAAAACACCCACGGCCAAGCCAAATGTTCTTCAAACAAAGAACTGGGCAGCCACGCGCAAATTTAACAATGCGCATGAAGTTGACTTGGCTTGATCTTGACCTAATCGCCATGTAAATGATGTCCGCCCAAGGGTCCCCAGAGTCACGTTTCACTAGGAACCGTTGGTGGACACCATTTTTATGGGGATCAATGCCGACCGACCACTTTGGCTTCCAACTCTAACGGTCAAACATGATATAGCCATGTCAGTGAACTCCGCCATGTTGGCTCCCTTCAGGTTTGCTCCGCCGTCTGAGCCCAGCACTGATCCCAAATTGGCCCGAACATCCTGGCGCCCAATTGCTGGATTTCCGCTGCAAAGAGCGCGAACTATTGAGGGTGCCGCTTCTAAAGAGAGGTCCGAAAAGGTCCTTGTTCCCACTTATTATAGGTCCCCCCTAGTAGGGTGGCTCCTGTTGTATCCGGGTTGTTTCCCAAGTGGCTAACCACTTACTAACTCGGCTGAACATCTAAGCACCCTCGTGCTAACGATGAACCCTGTGTTGGATCACATTGAAGAAAGCCATTCATTGGATGATGAGCGTCTACTTACAAACTACTGCCCAGGCCAATGTCTTCCCAATTGGCATGGTTCTGAACCCTGTTTGGGAATCTCCTGCACCTGCCTGTCGGAGGCGGCAAAGGTCGTCACCAGGAGAACATCCAGCTTTGCCAATAAAACCATCAAAAGCTGGCTCATGTGCCAAGACTTCGTCACTCCCTTTCCTATCTCGACGTTTGGCCCCAACAAACGCAAGTTTGTCTCTGGTTCACATGTAGCGAACCTCAAAACGTCAAAACGCAAAGCAAATCGAGATCCCATTGGACTAGGGCCACCCAAACGCGAAAGGTGGGACCCTTGGGTTTATGAAGAAGCCACCAGGTCCCACCTGCAGTGGGGACACCAATCCGCATAGAAGTTCACCTTGGGATGGTGTCGGCCGAAGCGAACGGACCTGCAAACGGGTTCACTTTTGTGGAGAAAAACAAACACACCAAACTACCAGTGGAATTTGTGGGAAAAAACAAGAACAAAAAAAACAAACTGAAACCAGTGGAATCCATCTGCTCTCAACTGTTTCTTCAAAGGACACCCAACCCGCAACTGACGAGCAAAGTACCCCGGCATGTCATTTGTCCACTCTGACGTGCAGGCAAGCAGGCAGGTAATTAAGCAGGCAGGCAAGCAGGCAGGCAGGCAGGAAACGATACCCCGGATACAGGGGCCCATGCTAATCTATTCTGCACAGGCCAACGTGTACAGTAATCACAAAAATGTGGTTGATCCCCGATCTGAGTGATTTCCCGTGATGTCTCCGCGTCCTTTGCTCAAGTCCCTAGAAAAGCCAAGTTTCCAAACGAACCAACAACACTCGCTTACCCTCGCACCAACCAAGAAAAACACAAGCGACAATTGCAGCGTGTGGTTTCTTTTTCCCCAGAGCACCTGCTGATTGATGTAAACCAATGGGTTACCCGAGTCTGCAGAGCCTCTTTCGGCCGCGTGGTGGGCCGTGGGCTTCTTATGGGTCCAGGGGCAAAGTCTAAAACATCCTCCCAGTTACAAGCGGCTGGTGTCCTTGATGCGAAAAGGGGTACTGATTTTGACAGATTGCACAGGGCGTGTCCAACTTGCGAGTCAAACCTTGGCCGGATCATCGATTCTTCCTGACATTCCGGCTGCACGCCGCACATAATTATGGGTCCATTGCTTCAGGGAAACCATTTGGGGTTGTGAAATGAAACCAAAGGGCACTGCCCATTTCGAATCCGCCTTTCCATCGACTCACTCAGCCCTCAAACCCCAAGGTCTTGGCGCTTTCCCAAAACGCGCACCATGACAGCCAGAATGGATTTGAAGGGTTAGCAAATTCTCCACCCCTTCTGGATCCCCAAAGGGTTCTTTTTAACCAACACCCACCTCAATTTGAGCATCCGGTGGTCAGGTTCCCCATGCTCCGTTTCCATTTCGCGCTCCAGGGTCCAGGACCCATTCGTTTTCCCAGGTTTGGGGTCAAGAAAAGAACAGGCGCCCCCATCCGGCCCAACTTTTCGTTCCCGAGAATCGAAGGTGTAGTCGTGCACGTCCACCACCTGAGTCGCAAAACAGTCCAGGTCTACCGGAAGGGGGGCGAGAACGCCAAAAAAGCCTCGCAAGCCTCGTCCTCAAACAAATGGGTGGATTCCAAACCGAAATGTTCAACCCCAAAAGGACACTGAGACTCATGTGAGTTCCCGCCTCGGGGTTTCCGAGGTTCGCCCGGGGGGGGGGGTGCTATTCAAAGGAGGGATTGGTCAAGATTGATTGTCACCACCTGTGGCACAGGGAAGTTGTTGAGTAACCCCCATTACTAGTGGTACTTGGTAAGTGTAGGGATAGGTTGCAAGAAGATTATGCTCCGCCAAGCACTTTCCCAACCTACCTTTGCATCTCGGACTGTCTTGCCTGCCCAACTCTAGAATCGCTTTTAGGCCCAACTCCAATTGCAATGCGCCGGGTGTTTTTAATTTCAGGGAAAGCCTACAAATGGCCATAGTGACATCCTCAACATCTCCAAAGGATGGTATGAAGAAACCTCCACTCGCTTTGAGCCGATGCCAGCCGTGAACACCCCGAAATCTTCGACCCGGCTGGTTTGACTGGCATGAGCGGCATCCTCGAAGCTGTCGTGCTTGAACTGGTCGCTCGAGGAGCTCCTCGGAGTCAACTTTTCAGGCCCAAACCGGCTACCCTCCCACCCTATTCACTTGGAGCCTGGCAGGGAAACGGCCCCTTTTAAAGGAACATGCAGGACCCCCCGAAACTCAGGTTCTATGTGAATTGGCGGGAAGGTACCCAAAACTGGGTGAATCAAAAGAGCATCTTGCCCCATGAATCTGGCGACTCCCCCAAGTTTTGATTGCTTGCCAGAAGTTCCCCTTCACTCGCGTGAGAGCCCAACGTTCACCTCCTGTGCGGCTTTGTCCAGCGCTGCTCTCCCCGCCCCTCTTCAGGTCTAGTAACGAATCGGAGAGCTCGCGCAGGAAAACAAGTGTCCAGCTCCGCTTGGAGTCATTAGAATCCCGTTTTTATGCACCAATGGCTGGGATCCCCACACAATCTCATGGCCAGTCTGGCAGCTTTTGGAGATCCAGATTCGACGCTTGGCCAGCTGCCCTGTTGGGTGCTTCATGCTGGTCGCAGAGTCCTCCGATTGAGTAGCTCAATAAGATGTTCCACTTCAATCTGCTAAAACCCCCCCCCCCATGAACACAAATTCCTCAAATTCCGGCCATCCACAGAAACCTCAGCGGACTCCTTTGTTGGGATTGTTTCCTTGGCAAATATACGGCCCATTCTGGGGCTATGTGCCAAGCATTGGGATTCCAGATGGGCCGCCGCCAGTGACCCGGCTACTTCCCCTATGAAAACACCAGCAATGAGACAATGGCTGCTATCCGACCAAGCAGGGTGGCCAAACCCACCCAAGCCCTAAGCGACTAGATGACACACATGCACCATCGGCTCAGAACATCGATCATTGATGCCCTTTCGGAATTGTGTTGTAGCTCCAAACAGGCGGCAGGAGCGAATCCCACCTCTTCCCGCCCAAAAAACGAAAAACATAGATGCCAAAGTTCCCGAAATCATGCTGTATCAATTGGCTCCCAATCGAAGCAGCTACCAGCAATTGCCCCAAGCAAGGAGTTGCATCAGCGCATGGCATGCATCTGGCACACGCAACGTGGCTGCATCGCGAGACAGACCAACAAGGCTTGCATCAACATAGCAAACCACGAGGTATCTGCAAAGTACAAACACATCACTTCCACGTATGAAGACTGCAAGTGAAGTTGAAAAGTTACATTTGTTGTGTTTTGGCGCGTCGACCCACCCGATCCACGCAGAGGGTTCATCCCGCCGACCCTCGCCCTTCGCGGTGCTTTGGGGAAAAACATGACTCCAGTCGGGCCAATTTACGTCATGGCCAGGTATGATCCTGAGTCACCCTCAAGCACCCAACCTACAGTTCTGGAAACAGGGGGAGTGTGGAGAACTGAGCCTGCACAAAGGCCTGACACCTATGTCAGTTGGAAAACGGGTCACCTCCATCCGTTCCTCGTGGCTCCGTTTTGAGCTACCCAAGCGGGGTCCACTACGTTTTCCCCCCTGCCCCTGAGGTCCGGGCCAATCTGAGTCCAGCTCCGCCTTGTCTTCGGCGGTCAGACTCCTTCCGTCAGATGCAGGGGGCTGATCTTTAACCCCAACAGCTTCGTATCACCTTGCCCCTATTTAGTGGTTTAGTTTTGGGGGGGGGGCTTCCCATTTGGTTCCAACAACCACCAAACCAATTGAGGGGTACCTCATAGTAGGAAACCAGAAAAGTGCTCCCCGAAAAGTTGAAGCTACAAGGTGGAATGCCGAGGGAACAAGCCACAGCCAGCTTGGCCAGGTGGGAACTAAAGCAAGCAACCTGTGACGGTGGCCAATAATTCTACTCCCCTACCGATATGGAACCCAAAAAAGGGGGTCCCGAAAAGAAGGTTCCGCCAAGAATGAGGAAATGTTTTGGGTGCACAGGCTACGCCCTACAAGCAATGTTTGGCCCAGGGCTTTTGGCCAGACCCCACTTTGGAATCGAGTGTTATCTTTGGTGACTTGAGTTGATTTGATGGGTCAACCCATGATTTTCAGTTTCTGCTTGTGGCACGTTTCCTAAAAAATTGGACTCGCACAAATTCAGCTGGCTTTGCCATCGGCTGGGGGCTCACATAAAACTGGGTGCCAAAAGGGTCTCCAACACCCCGTAAAGGGAGGCAAGCTTGCCACGCCTATGTCCGGCATGGGGACTGACCTGGTCTTGGACCCCAAAAGGCTCAAGGATTTGTCCAGCTGCTCTGCGACATGCGAAACTTTTAATGCTGATGTTGGGCGGGCGGAACTCGCCGCAATTGTGGCGGCCTTTCAATGGATCTGTGAGACCGGGTGCCGTGCACAAGTCTGGTCTGACTCACAGGGTACAGGACAGCGCGCGCAGCAGCTACTCGACGGTGACCCCACCTTCCTCGAATGCACTGTAGATAACCACGACCTGTGGGAGCAGCTCTGGCAGATCATTCAGCAGCTTGAGGATGATGCAACAGGACCTGGATTATTATAACTTTTGGTCCCACGCGATCAGAACGGTTCGAGGGTTTCCTTTGGCCATCGCGGACGATCAGGCCCATTCTAGCTCTCACATACCGGTCTTTGACGCGGTTACTGCAATTGACGATACGGACTGGGGCTGGGTTGCCCAACACACCACGCTTAACAATTGGCTGCCCGGCAACTGGATGCAGCACCTCACCTCCTCCGAAGCTGGCTCACTTGCTTTGTTTGCAGCGCAGCTTTTGACCTATCTCTCGTCGTTGGAGGGCAGCGGGTCGGATTGTCTTGCAATCAGCTTCATTGAGGTTTCGCTTTGGCTTTGCAATCAGGAGGGTTTTTGCCTCCCGGATAGTTGTACTCAGGCCGATGCCAGCCTTAGGCCACTACAGCTTTTCTTTACCCGCCCAATTCTTGCGAGAGTTGTCTGCACAGTTCGCGCCGCTATGCGGCTCGTCGACGAGGCTTTTGACGCTGGCCAGATTTGCAGAGGGGCTTCAGGCGAGCATCAGATCTCGCCAGGCCCGTCTGACCCAACGGGCGAACTGGCCCGACTGCGCAGCTGTGCGTCGGAGCCTACCGAATCGGTCCGAGATAATGCTGATGTTGGAAACACCAAACAATTGCAAAAACCTATAATCGGAGAACTCTAGAGCAAGCAAGAACCATCGCCCCATCAGGGTCTTGTGGTTGCATTATCCTCCCCACCAACCAATATGGAACCCACCATACGGACCGATTTGCGAAACTTGTTTTCCAGGAACCCCCAGTCAAGTTGCGCGTCAGCGGGTGGAAGGAGGGCAACCCCCACCAAACCTCCAGACTTCTTTGCCAATCAAAAAACAACAATCACATCTCCAGTATGGTGTCCGGGTCCATTCGTTTCCTTCAGCCCGGCCTCTCGGAGAAGTCAAGCTCCGTAAGCTCGTCATCCGTGTAGGCGTGGCCCTTGTCGACCCTGGGCGATTCGAGCTCGATGGAGCGGCTTCAACAGGGGATCCCCATCCGGCCAGTTGCCTGACACAACGCTGACACCATTCTTCACTCCGAATGGGACATCCTCAGCCCAATTCGTAGTCTGGGCACCACTACAAGAAGAGAAACCACCACCATCTGGCAGGATGGAGGATTGACGTTAAACCACTCGGGGGAGAATTGCATCAAATTGGTGCTTGATAATTTTGGGAACCTTGCTAAAACCAGCCCATTGGGGCACGGAATAGCTGTGCTACACAGAGGGGCAGATGTTCAAGAAAGCCGGCATGACACTTGCCAGTTGACAGGGTCCCAGCGTTCACACATGCCCAGCCCTGGTCCCCACAAAAAAACTCGAACATCAGCATGAAGCCACCACAAGGCAGCATGCGAAGTCCTTTGAAGGAGGCTGTTACAGAGAACTGCACCCTGGCGCTGAGGTTCTGCTTGTAAGCTCACCCAGGCCTCGCTCACTGTTCTCAAGGTCAGCCTCAAACAAATAGGAAGAAAGAAATCCACGAGGCATGGAATGAATTTGGAATAATCCAGCCGCAATGCGCCCACCAAGCATCGCTGCCACTGGCAAAACGCCAGAAGAACACGCCACGAGGCATATGCCTCGTACATGCGCATTGCATGCGAATACCGCGCACGTGACCAAACCAAAAGCGCAAAGGCACGCACATGCAAGGAGTCCAATTTGACACTGGCCATGCTGGCAGCAGCAACGACCGCTTGCCACCCAAGGTGCCGAGACTGGAACGACATATTTACATATTTGACAAACAAGCCGTCTTTTAGATTATCCTGTCACTTTTGGCAAGTTGCTTCTCAAAGCTGGATCTGTTACAGTTGTGCAATTCCTTACATTGGCCCAAAAACAGAAGTGCTGGCCCGCCTGTGCCACTCGCTAGATTTCGCGGATACTTAAGCGTGCAATTGCGTTCTCATTCCAAGTGCTAAGATAGTCACCCCCCCCCAAGTGACGAATGTCTTTGACTCTGACAAACATCCTTGCAGCTTCTCATCGCCAGGAACTTCTGTGCCAACTCAAATATATGTGTATATCTATATATATATATATATTAGAGTCAGCTGTGCACGCCCAGGTGGACCCACCCTGCCACGCTGTGCATACTTGCTCCATCCACCCCCATCATACCAAGCTTATGCAAACACTCACACACAAGCCACTACCAGCTTCCGGAAACTGCTCAATCAGAAAGAACTGGCAGTTGGTGGGCATGAATCAAACCAAGTTGTGCTTCGTTTTTCCGATGTCCACTAAGGGGACTTGTTCCAGCTAGCATTGATACCCGCATGAAACTTGTGGAGTTGGGCCAAGCTTCAGACTGTCCGTCCAGTTCAAATAGTTCGCATAACACGGAGATTTCCTGGTACCTGTTGATGTGTGTCTGTGTCTGTCTGTTCGTGTTGCTTGCCTGCGTATTTGGTTTTTGCCTTTATTGTGCGAAACCTAAGGGACACCTTCGAGTTGTTCCAAGTTCCATTTTGCGAACCCCAAATTTCGCTCCAAGCGGCCCTCTGTGGTCGATCCGCTGCTTCACCAGGTTTTTGGTGATGTTCATCCGGTCGGTGCCGAACCTCAGGCACGGCTGCCTCACATGTGCAAGGGGAGCCGAAAGGAACGCAACCCGAAGGGTGTCCAACTTTGCCCAGGGTTTCGTTGCTGACAATCCTGGGCGGGAAGCTCCAAATTGGTCCCAACTTTGCGTGAGGCCCAAGCATGCTTTCCTCGGGCCAAATCCGGCAAAAGAAACTGGCCCTCTTCCGGCTGTTCGTCGCGCGACTCGGAGAACCTTCAGAATTCCAGTTGGCTTGGCTTGAGTCAGGTGGCGCGTCCCACACGCCCACGGTCACGTGGTCGCAGGCCATGTCGAGCATTGTGACGTCAAAGTGGATGCCCAGCATGGAATCCTCGAAAAAGCCGAGGCTGAAATATTGAGGCCCCTTCAAAAGCCAAGCTTTCCTGGGGCCCCCAAAGCAAGCCTTGGGGTGCACGTGTCCTGGTTGCTGTCCAAGGCGACATCCGTCCGCCGCTGGGACGTCATAAAGGCTTTGGTCTCGCAAATGAAGAGGATTACCTCGAATTTGCCGGGGTGCCAGAGGCTTCAGCTTGTCCTTTGTGGTGGCTTGGATGGGTTTGGAACTCGACTCCTAACCAAGTCCCCCCCCCTTCCCTAAAGCCTGCATTGCCCGGAGGGACGAGGAACCTCACCCCAGCTTCGACCCCCAATCAGCTTCAAAGACATAGATGGGTTCAAGTCCTGTCAAGTCACGTAGCGGTCGCGGTCGCCACGTTCAAAGTGGTTGAACGTGTCAAAATGGTGTTTCCTCTTCGAAACATGTCCAAAACAGTGACTCCCAAACCTCGCGCCACACACCCAACATTGGAAATCAACCCAAATGGACCTCTGAATGGCTAGATTCATTCACGGTGTCATTGAAGATCCCTCGGGGCTGGAGATTGGCCTACACGTTCCTTCGAAGCCGCGCATGTAAGCACCGCCACCATGGTCATGAAAGCTCCCGTGGCGCTCGCCTGGCGGTTCTCCGCAAAAACATCATCCGTTGCACATGAAGCTGCCGACTCAAACTGTTGTCCACCTGCATCTATGATCTTAGGTCCATCGGAAGCTGCCAAGTGGGCTCGCTGTGCTTGCACTTCAAGACCTTCAAGCCATCCTCACTGACCCACCGCCCCTCGCCAGGGGCGGCTTGGACAAGGTTCTGTGCAGGTCTCTTTCTTTTTGCATGCAACACACACACACACAGAGACTTACTTGGAACAGCTGATCGGGTTCGGCATATGGGACATCTACGTGGAGGTGGGCAGAGCAAAAGGAAGATGAAATGCGAAAAAAGCTCCGTGTTTCTCCGGGCCCCTATGTCTCACTTCAAGAATCGTGATTCAAAGGCTGTCCCTGGTACCCCTACCTAAAAGCATGGACACCAGCACACACGATAGCCCACCGATCTAGGTCACGATTCAGGGGCCCTCAAGTTTCTCATTGGTCGCATTCAGATTCCAAAGTAATTCAACAAATTTGCTTTCGGTACCTTCCAACAAAAGTGGACCAAGCGTCGCGAGGAGTGAGCGGCATGAACATCACGCGTTTGACCAGTGTCTATTAGACTGTATACGGCCACACTACGATGTTCCACCAACAACAACTGTGCCCAGAATGGAGGCTGCTGCCCTGCGAACGCGGAAACATAACTTGTTGAATACCTGGGACGACAGGCAGACACTGGCGCGGAACAACGCCAAAGCCAAACACTTGGCAGCATCCCTCACAGCAGCTTGCCCGCTGGAGATTAGGCCAGGAATGGCTCCGCAAGCGTCATGGCCATCCCACAGCAACAGTCCAACATGCAAAAACAGCAACAACCGCCGACAACAACGACGACGACAACGATGAGCAGCAGCAGCAGCAGCAGCAGCAGCAGCAGCAGCAGCAGCAGCAGCAGCAGCAGCAGCAGCAGCAGCAGCAGCAGCAGCAGCAAAACAGTGACGGCAACAAAAGCAGCAGCGACAGCGGCCGCTGCGGTGAAGGCAGCGCGCCAGCAGCGGTGGCAGCGGTGGCCCGGCAGAAGCAACGGCTGCAGCAGCAGTAGTGAGCAGCAGAAGCGCGCCTGACACCAGCGGCGCCACGGCAGCCGATTGACAGGCAAACAAAGCAAGGGCCGGCCTATGTAGGCCACGCATCAAGCTCGCCGCCGACGGAACTGGCACGTTCCAGTGAGAAAACTGCAGCTCTCACAAGCACCAGCTGCGCCGTGTTGGGGAGCACCCCCACAACAGCAAGCCTGTAGAGAAACTAAGATTCAAAAATCGCGCCGTGTTGTGCTCCCAATGCAAATCAGCAAAACACAGCTTCCCAATGCCCAGCCGCGCTGTGAAGCCCAATCAAAAACGGCTTCCCGCAGACGCGCCAAGTTGGGGCAGCACTCCTGGCGCTGCTTCCACATCCCCAGCACCGTCACAGCCAAGCAATGACTCCCCCCTCCAAGAACACAGACCTCACAACCTCCAGCTGCGCCGTGTTGGAAGAGCACCCACGAAACGAGCACCTGCAAGTGACAAGCAAACACGCTTGCCAGTCCTCAGTCGCGCCACGTTGGGCGTGGCAAGCGTGCCGAGCCACACAATTTACAAACGCTCACCCCATCCCAGCCGCTGTGTTGCAGGGCGGGGGCCCCAGCCCTGCAGTGTTGGGGGAGCACCCCCGAAACGTGCACGCCCTGACAAAAAGAAAGCCAGCGTGCTAATCCCCGGCCGTGCGTGGCGGAGCACCCTCAAGGCGAGCACGCCGCATTAGGAAAAACCACCGTTTCGTAACCTCCAACCGCGCCGTGTTGCAGGAGCACCCGCGAGCAGGCCCAGTGAGAAACAAAAACAAACCAGGCGCACCTTGCTGGGGCAGCACCCAGCGCTGGTTCCCGTTCCCAGCCGCGCTGTGTTGGGGGAGCAGAAGCCAAACCGCCCAGCAACCAAATAAGAACAGCATCCCAACCCCCAATCCGCGCCATGATGGGGGAGCACCCCTGAAACGAGCACACCCAATGACTCCCCGCAAAAAAAATAATATCCCCAACCTCCAAACATATTTGCCAATCCCCTGTCGTGCCGCGTTGGGATCGCACGCCCGTGGCAAGCTGAGCCAGTGTTCCCAATGCTCAGCTGCATTGTGTTGGCGGCGCGCCCGCGAAAGGAAAACACCCACTGGCCAAACAAAATCAACGTCCCAACCCCCAGCTGCGCCATGTTCGGGGAGCACGCCTGAAACGAGCACGCCCAGCGACTCCTCCCGGCAAAAGAAGAAACAGCTTCCCAACCTCCAGCTGCGCCGTGTTTGGGTAACATCCCCAACTTCAGTCAAAAACAAAAGCAAGCGCTACGGGGCGGCGCTGCTTCCCTCCACAGCCACGCCGTGTCGGGGGGAGCGCCCCTGAAACGAGCACACGCCCAGCGACAAGCAAAAACGCAAAACCCTTGCTAATCCTTAGTCGCGCCGCACAATCGCATGGGGCGAGCACACCCAGTCAGAAAAGCAGAAAAGTTTCCCAATCCTCAGTCGTTGGGGGAGCACCCCCGGCGCGCCAGTGACAAAACAAAGCCGTGCGTGTTGTCCGAGCACCCCAGAACGAGCACGCCCAACTCCCCCCAACCCTCCCAGACCGCAGCCGCGCCTCGTTGGGGGAGCACCCCAGAAACGAGCACACCCAACGACTCCCCAAACCCAAAAAAGAAACAGACAGCATCCCAACCCGCAGTCGCGTCGCGTTGGGGTTGGAGCGCCAGCAATCACACGCGGCCAAGCCGTGTGACGGCGCCCCTGAGCCTACCGGAAGCGTCCGGCCCCACACACAGCTCGGGGGTTGAATACCTGGGAACTTTTGCCCTTTCAAGTTAAGGATTTGTCATTAGGGAGGCAACGAAAGCACAGACGTGGGCAATGCACACACACTCCAAATGGCCATGGTTTCGTGTTGGCAAGGGGGGGGTGACAAACAGCCTGTCGTACTGCGGGGCAGGGTGGGGGGTGGGAGTTGTGGGTTGGTGAGTCGCATACCGGGGCACCTATCTCTGAGGAGATACGCACTGTGGTGGCAGTCTCTAGTGGCCCTGGATCTGTTTCTGAACGAGAATCTGATGACCTGATGGTTGCACTGTCCGGAAGCCCCTGGGGAATAAATGCATGAGTATGTGCTGAGAGCGAGCGCAGCGAGGTCTTTTTCCATGGCGAGTCTGACCTCTATGGTAGAAAACGAGGCCAATATGTATACGTGATGCTGCCCAGCACGGCCCAACTGAAACCACTCGATGACTTGCGATATGCATGCCAAGCATTTTGAAAGTCGAAAACATGATGTGCCAGATCTGATCACTTCCAAACACCACGCTCTTCAGTCAAGCAAGTGCAGGTCCAGTGCGCAAAGAGATTGCATGTAAGAATCTAAGGTAGAAAAGTGCACAAAACACGCAATGATGGCAGATGTAGCGGGCATGGCTGCATACATATTTTCAGCAGCAATATGCCCAGTAGCGAAAATTTGAAAACGTGGCGGCAATGCCTCTAGCATGGTGCCTCAAACTGCAAAGGCCCGGTCTTCCGGTCCAGGCCAACCCCCCCCCCCCCAATAAAGCCAACATGTTGTGACAGCAAGCTGAGTGTTTGACCCCATGTATTGCTTGGTGCACGTAGAGGGAAGCTTTCCCAGCGGACGATCGCACGCTCTGCCTCTGCCAGGTCCTTCGGCACCGTCCGGAAGGCATCGAAGCTGGCGGCCCACCTGCGATTCACTTCAAGAAGTTTGTACCCTTTTGCTCCCAGATATGTTCATCCCACGTCTCAGTAGGGTTGATCCAAAAGCCCAGGGAAATTGGATCTGTGAATGGAACTGCCAATGCCCTTTGGCTGTGCCAAGGCTTGCAGCCACGCCTGGGCGGCGGCATTCGATCGAGTCCTCGGCTGGACTCGGGAAAGCAACCGATTCACACGCGCCAGGTGATCCTCAAGTCCGCATGCAGCCAGTTAGACACGTCACTTTGCAAACTGGCCGTGTGGCAGGCAGCTAGGGAATGCACTTCTCCTATAGCATATCTCGCATGTTCGGCGTTCGGCTTCGACGCGCCAGCGATTGTACCTCACAAACCCCAAACAGCATGGAGGGGAAGAATCTTTGCCTTGAATCAGACACATGCTGACAACGGCATCACGGCCACACAGTTGTACAGGGTGAAGCAGACAACGCCATGATGGAGAGGGTGGCAAGTCTGGTGCACGCATTGTTGCGGTGATGCGCATATAGAAATCATGAGGTAGCATCACAGCGCTGCGCAACAAAATACGATGATTCAGGCTGAAAAATGAGAATGCGAGAAGCAGCATCATGCTGTCCTCATCATTGTGACGTGCGAGTCGCTGTGGCCGCCGTTATGGCAAAGCCGGCAATCACCGTGATGACGCAACGCACGCAGCGTGATGGTGACACAAACAACACTATGGGGATGGATGGGCGCTACATCAAAATTGCGCAAACAGCA